TTTTTCAAGTAATATCGACTTACCTTTTTAAATTGCCTACTATTATACTAATCAAATAAAAAATTAAATATTAAACAATTTATATAAAATTTAACATTAAATTAATTATTAAACAGTAAAAATTGTAAAAAAAAATTATATCACATAATTGTTATAAAAATATTTTTTATTTTTAAATTACTAACCATTACTACTATACAAAAAACTTATAAATTTCTAGCGCGCTATTTGATAGCACGAAATTCATAAGAAAGCGTGTGAGAGGCCGACAAACGCGTAAAGTTTTGCAGCACGCTATATTATCTCGTAGCATGTTATCATGTCGTTCGTTGGATAGACCGCGTGCTATATAAGAATGTTATTTCGTAATAAGTCTCATTTGAGACTAAAATTAAATAAAGCAGTAAAGAAAAACCAATGAACACTTTCATACTTTTCAGGCTTAGGCCTGTCTATAATCGACGTAAACGTTATTTTAACATTAATGTAAATTATAAAGCAATAAAAGGCGTATTTAAAAGTTTATTGATTGTATATACAAAAATCAACTATTTACATACATTATTATATACACTTTTAAATCTATATTTTATTTACATTTAAAAACTTTTTTGGGCTACTTTTGTAGCAAACAACCGTTTTTTTCGATCACTTAAAAATATACAGTATACCCTAACTAACCAACGTCTAATACTAAATACGGTCGCGCGCGATGAATAGCGTGCTGCTAGATTAAATTTGCGTCAGCGCATGCGATAGCTAGATGCCAGCGCTGCTGCTAGAGCTAGTTACCGCTAGATTTTTATAGCGCCAAAACGCCATAGCTACGTGGCGGCTACTTACATAACGCGTGCTTTGCGCTATGGAAAGATAGCGCCTATGCGATATATTAATCATCATTACTCCAGAATAATTTTCGGTGGGAAAATATATTTATCTCTCTCTATTACACAGACAAGTTTTTAGGAAAAAGAGTGAGGGTAAATTACTATATCAGTTTACCTGTTTACACCTGGTAGACAGGTATTTTTACATGGAAAAAGACAGTCAATCATGTTGTGGCATTTTCTATATATTATTTTTGTTTCGATTGAGACCAATTTTATCAAGGATATGAATGACCGTAACCGGTAAAAAAATGAATTAAATAATTTTTAATTAAAAATAGCCTTGCCAAAACAGGCTGTAAATCACCCCAATTTGTATTTATTTATATATTTTATTATAAAAATATTTCATCAAGAAAAAGAATGAGGGAGTATTTTTTTAAACCGGATCTTAAACTATTATGTAAAAGTATTTTATGTATAAATATAAGTGTTCCAGATGAAAATTAATTTCTTATGAATTTTTTGAGAATTTTTAGAACGAGTAGAAAAACCTTTCTGTACCTTATGTGGTAATTGAATCTGCATTTATTCTGAAGAAGCTAATTCAAAAACAAAAGAAAACTTTATAATATGAACCAAATGCGAGGTAAGTGGAAACAGACCAGATTTTTTATATAAATAATAGCTTATGTTTTTCTTTTTTCGTTTCGCCGTTTGTCATTACCGTTACAGCTTTTAAAAGTCCTCTGCTAAACATAGCACGCTTGATTGGATGCCTCACAGGGGAGATATTTGCCGTAGTTGCCATACAGCTGGATTGGCAACCATACGACAATAATTAGGCCGAGTTTATACAATGCCTACTTGGTTACTGAAAATTCAGGCTTCTAGTTTTATCCACAACGAAGTTATACGGTTTCCAAAGTGGCCTGAACTACTTCGAGAAAAAAATGGTACGTCTGTGCCGCTTTTTTCCTCGAAATAGGGGGGGCACTGCCGTGCCCCTAGATTTTGTTCTACGCTAACTTCCTTCTGGTATTTGTGTATCATTAATTATTTAATTTACATTCCAATCAATACGACTCTCTAATACGTTTATTACCTGTTTATCCGATTTTTCTATATAATATCCAACACAAACTCGTGCAAAATGATTCATCTTTGAACAGCGCATGCACTGTTTCCGTATACCAAATGCGGGACATTCATATTTTTTATGCACGTTCCCGCAATTAATGCACTTGTTATCGTTTACCGTATTATTATGCGAGAAACCTTGACGGTGCCCTAGCACCGCTCCGCTCCACCAGCCGCCTTGCCAGCCGCCTCACCAGCCGCTGTTGCCCCCTCACTCCATTCCTTTCATCGTCAGCTGTTCTATTTCTTTGTTTATCCCTTGACGGATATGAAACTTTATGTACGGCCCGTGTGTCCTCTCTTCCTCCATTCGAATATATATATTTTTTCTGAGTGAACCTTCGAAATTACAGCCTCACGACAGATACCCAATGCCATCTTTAATGTTAAATTATTCTCCCTTATAATAGACTTTCTCGAATATTCGCACTAGCCACATCACAGACCAGTCTATCCTTTATTAGACCTTCACATAATTCATCAAATTCGCATGTCTGAGACAATTTACGCAACTCAGATATATATATATTGATTGATTGTTTCATTTTGTTTTTGATCTCGTGTGAAAATCTTATGCCGCTCAAGTGTAACGTTTCTTGTAGTTTTAAAATGGTGGTCTATTTTTTTTTGTTATTTTTTGTTCTAGATAGTTAAGCATACATTGGGCGTCCTAATTAAAATTATATTCAAGAGTAATTATCAGAGACGTGAAAATTAAACAATAAAACATGTGCAATTTTTACATTTGAAAATGATCTAAGTGATATTTGAACGAAGCTGGTATAAAAAATATATTATAGCCATGTGGAACATTAGTTTAAAAACTTGTACATCTTATACCAATTTCAAAATAAAAAAGAAAAATACTAATTTTAAACTACAGGGTTTAAAATTAGTATTTTTCTTTTTTAATCAATATCAATAGCAAAGGACATTTTTGTAAGCAAATAAAATACATACATATTTATGTAAAAGCTTTTATTACAATATTTTATTTTATTTTTATTACAATAAATGCTCAAAATGCCTTCCTCTAGCTCTTATGCATAACCAACATCTTTGTATAAAGTTTCTTTGCAAACTTCTTCGAACCCGTTCATTATTTTTTCTTTTTGTCGTAACTCTATTTAGAATTTTTGTCGTAACTCTCTTTCATCAGAAATACTATTCTCATAAACTGCTTCTTTGAAGTACCTCCAAAAAAAAATCCAAAAGATTCAAGTCGGGAGATCGCGGTGGCCATGAAATAGTCCTCCGCGTCCAATCCATCGGTTTGAGTATACCTCGTTCAAAAATTCAGTCACTTGTCGTGAATAGTGGGCGGATGCACTGACTGCTGCAACCACATTTTCTCGCGGACTTGTGGTATATCTGCTAATAAATTTACAAGATCGTATCTCAAAAATTGGAGATAACGAGCGCCGTTAAGTCTCAAATTAACTCCAAATTGGTACTGGAATCGATCTTCTCTGACTATTCGGGGATTCACGACACTCAAATGATGAAGGTTATGCATGTTAAACGTTCCAGTTTCTTTTAAAACATGATTCATCATTCCATAATATGGAGTTAAAATAGTTTTGATCTTGTCGGCATCAACGCAGCATCTCTCGGCAGAAATCTATTCGTCGCTGATAATCAGCAAGTAAAAGCGCCTGTATTGTAAATTGTTCCTTTTCAATTTGCGGTGTACTGTACTTCTAGCTATACCAGTGCGTCTAGAAATACGGCGAGTACTAGTGGGGGATCTTCTACTTTTGCCAGTACCTGACGTTCATCCACTGTCCTAGGCCTTCCTTCAGAATTTCCAACTCCAAGAATACGACCTTCTAAGTAGGCGTTATTATACCTAGTATTAATAGTTAGGCGTTATTATAGTACTAGTTATTGAAGTTTATGTATGTTTGATTGTTTTGACTTGTTATTATAGAGCAAGCTGAATGGATAAGGTCCATTCATTTATTTCGTATTGGTCGAACGGTATCATAGTGCTATGGGTAAGCAGACAAAGTCACGGGTAGGGGCTGGTTTAATATAAAAGAAAATTTTTGATAATAAGTTTATTATACTGTAATTTATTTCAGTTTTTATTTATTTTCAGACTGATAAGGTGTCTATTATATTCCCATTTTATATTGTGGAATCACAAGCTGCTCCTTCGGAAACTATTGCTGCAAAACCACAAGCAGGATCTTCAAAAAGGACATTAAGAGGACAACATTTTATGTCTAATGAAGAACAGCCGCAAACTTATCAAAGAATATCAGATGATGATGAGCCTGAATAATACTTTATGAAAGCTGTTAAATTACATAAGAAAAATTGTCTGATTATGTCTGATGATAGATTTGAACTTGTGTGAAGGAGCGTATTTATTAGATACAGTAGAGCGTCGATTATCCGAACTAATTGGGGGACATGGGTGTTCGGAAATCCGGTATTTTCGGATAATCGAACTTCCTCTATGTACATATATTGATTCAGCTATACATATTTACGTATAGGTAAATGATAACCATATTTATTTTTACATCTTTAATGACAAATAGGAATTAAACAAAAAAGTGCAGACAATTTTGTGGTAAAACATGTTTGTACTAGGTACAATTAACGTTTAAAAAAATCTTCCATCTTCGTCTGCCGAAGTAAGCCTACCCGCTTACGAGCGACTAAGTCACGTACTTTTTTAAGGACAGATATTTGATACTGGTCGCTTTCGGCCTGTGTTTCAAACCAACGCAAGGTAATATCTAAACAAGTAAACGCTTCAGAAGCACCAATTATGTTTTCATCTTCAATATCTGAACTTGTAGTTGATGAGGTGCTCGTGGTGGTGTCAGCCTTATTAGTTATGAGGTTTAAAATATCGCTATCCCTATCCTGCATAATTTGGTACCCGGGATCTTCATCGTCGATATCCATTCATTGTTGAACTTCTTCTTCATCACATTCGTGGCAATCGAGCTTTTTTAGCATATCTATCATTTCAGACATATCTTCCTGTCTCTCATTTACATATTCACTTTGAGGATTTTACCCCATACACAAAACTTTATTCCACGCTTTTCTCAAGTTCTGCTTTTTTACACTGTCCCATGCTGCTCTGATCATGTAGGACGCATCTTTTAAATCAATCTTTTTATGATTTCGTATCAGGCTTTCTTCTCCCTCCTCTTCTTTTTCCAAAAGTAACTTACGTAACAATTCTTTTCTATAATACCGTTTGAAAGACTCAATAACGCCTTGATCCATGGGCTGTAATAATGAAGTCACGTTAGGTGGAAAAAACATGATTTTTATAAACTCGTCTTTTTCATTTAAGATGTCCAATGATGGATGAGTTGGGGCATTATCAAGAAGCAATAATGTTTTCTCTCTTTTACCATTTTTTAATTGATGGGTTTTTACAGAGGGTATAAAAGTTTCTGTAAACCATTTCATGAAAATTGTACTATCCATCCAAGCATTTTTTTGCGAAGTGTAAACGATAGGCATCGCAGACATATTAACGTGTTTGAAACAACGTGGTTTCTTGCTTTTACCAATTACAAGCATGGGCAATCGGTGGATGCCAGTAGCATTAGCACATGCTAAGTCAGTGATACGGTCCTTGCTTATTTTAGGACCAGGTGCTGCTAATTCACAACGTGAAGTAAGAGTTTTTCGTGGCAAAGCTTTCCAATTGAGCCCGGTTTCGTTGGCATTATAAACGTTTTCGAGAGCGTAATTTTCTTCCTTCAGCATATCCCTTAGTTTGATTTTGAATGAATCAGCTGCTGATGAATCAGCAGATAGTTTTTCACCTTGTATTTGAAGCTCACGAATGCCATGTCTTGACTTAAATCGTTTTAACCAGCCTGTGCTTGCTTGAAAATTTGACGGTCCTCCAATTTTTTCGTTAAATTGAACTGTTTTTTCACACAGAATTGGGCCAAAAATTGGTTCTCCCTGGGATCTTTTTTGAGTAAACCACATATATACAGCATCATCTAAATTCGTGTTTGAGGCAAGTTTCATCGTTTTACGACTCGTGGATCCGTCAGAAGAATCAAGCAGCTGGGATATAAAGTTACTTATGTTCGTCTTTTGTTTTTTTTATATCTGTAATGGTAGACTTACCAACTTGGTATTCAAGGGATAATTTGGTTGCAGATTCGCCTTCCTCTAACCGTTTATTTATTTCGTATTTATCTTTCATAGAAAGGACAACACGTTTACGTTTAGACACATTAAATCGAGATTATACTTTCATGCGGCAAAATTTCGTTTATCGACTAGCGGTTACTTAGAACTGATATACGAGAACAATTAACAAGTCGCGACAAGTGCACGAGCAGCGAGCACTGTAGCGCGGGAGGCGGGAGAGAAGCACGCGCGGGTCGGGCGGGTGTAGTAGTTCGGATAAGCGGTCGTTCGGTTAATCGACGTTCGGATAATCAACGCTCCACTGTAACTTGTTTTTGATTAAAATATTCATATTTTGGTTATTGTAGAAACTTTGTGATTTGTGATTGTGCATGTTACGAGTAGTATAAATTCATTCATGATTGTAAATCATATATATTATTTTTATCGTTGTTTTACATATGTAATTGAAATATTGTAATCAATATTGATTTTTATTTTCTTGTTTAAACTCATCTAATGACTTTATAGAAAACTAAGTTGCTGAAGAAATTTTGTCTCCCGTCAGTTGTGTTATGCATGTTTAAGAAATATTTCTGTACCGTAAAACCACATGCCAGTATACAAATATTGGCCGCGGCGGCGATGCCGCATGTATGGCAGTCACATTCCGTCAGGACTAATACTAAGCCTACAAGATAGACATTGTAGGCTTAGTATTACGTTCCTGTTAACATCATTTGGGTCCGCACTAATAAAATGATAAATATTGTTGCCAATGTAATGGTAACAATATAGCTTTCTAAGGAAACACACATTGGAATAAGCTTAAACTTAGGCAAAATTATGAGAATAAAGTGGTAGATGCTGTCATATCTTTTCCTTATATTTGTAATTAGTATATAGCACATATGGAAGGGAAATTTCTTGTCACTTTTATTTATACCTAGAACACATTCTGAAGGTGACAGTGGCAAACTACTGCATTTAATAAACAGTTTTGTAAAGTTCGTTTTTTAATGTGTCTTACTCACACCGAACAAAAGGCTGGTCAAGCGTGCATAAAACATCGCAAACTGTTTCATATCCGCCTCATCGATACCGATGTTCTGTGACATACCCAGGAATCGGTATGTTTCAGCCTCGGAATGGGACCTTAAGTTGATAGGCATAAATAAGTCTATGCCCTCAGTGTTAGCAACCCTTCCCCTTTCAAAATTGAGGACCGCACACTTATTCGTCTCCAGCTCCAGAATTCACTATGTATGAAGAACGTGCATGTATGAAGAAGATAATGAATCTGAAAGAAGCGAAAGAGGTATTTAAGGATCGTGACACTTGGCGATCTGTTCTCTCTGGCTACCCCGTCAGGGATTGTGCGTGAAGATAAGTAAAGTAAGTAAATAAGTAAACAAGTGATGTTTATTCCATAAGATGGGAGCGACTGGAGGCGAATAATTTGAGATCATCCATATAGAAAAGGTGGGTCACTTTTGTACCTCCTTTCCGAAGCTAAAATCCCCTCCTGGAGTCGTCCAGCAAGGTACTGAGAGGGTTCAAGGAGAGCTAAACCAGATTGGACTCAAACAATCGCCCCAGATGATATCCCTTCTTATCCTTATGTGGTTCTCAGCAGCCGTCATCCGTTTGCCTAGATGACTAATAATCGTACTCCACTGCCCCATACACTGCCCGAAGAAGCCTCTAACTGTACAGTCAACCTTGTACAGCCCGAGGATCCTCTTTAGTCATGTATACGTCACTGAGTCGAATGCCTTTTTGTAGTCTATCCAGGCGGCGGAGAAGTTCAGACGGTTGCGTTTAACCACCTTGCCTATGGCCGCGTCAATGAGAAGTGGTACTTTGGTTCAATAACCATCACCCCGACATCCATTTTGAGCGCGCGACATCACCTGATTTGAGTTCAGGTGACGAGTGAATCCCGCGCTCAAAATGGGTGTTAGTGTCTTGTATATAATTAATAGAATCAGGCGTTACTTTGCGGAAAACCATTATAATGGGGTTGCTATAAATTAATTTGCTTAATTCCGTGTAAGGAAAGAAAATTGTATGTCCTGCCCAGTTTCAAGGGGACGCTAAGTGAGCGGCCAGCCTCCGCAGTCTACTTCACCTGAGGATGCCTCGTGTAGAGGCGAAACACGTCCTATTATCGAGAGTGGTGTGTCGTGCCTAGTGTGGTGGTGCTGGGATTGACGGTGACGGGTACAGTGGTGGTATGTTTCAGCCTCCGAAAGGGTCCTTATGTCGATGGGAATAGATAAGTCTATGCCCTCAGACTTAGCAACCATTCCACTTTCGACATGGAGGACCTCACACTTATCCGTCCCCAGCTCCATTCTGATAGAATTGGGAGAGACTAGAGGCGAATAATTTGAGATCATCTATATAGTAAAGGTGGGTCGCTTTTGTACTTCCTTTCCGAAGCTGAAATCCCCTTCCGGACTCCTCCAGCAAGGTACTGAGAGGGTTCAGGGAGAGGAGAAACCAGATTGGATTCAAACAATCGCCCTGGAAGATACCCCTGCTTATCCTTATGTGGCTTTTCGGATCCGTCATCCGCTCGCCTAGATGACAAAAGATTGTACTCCACTGCCCCATACACTGCCAAACTTGACCTCGCAGTAGGATCCTTCTTCACCAGGACAACGCCTCGTCGCACACCGCCAAGCAAACAATCGACTACTTGGCGACGTTAGAAGTGGAATTACTGGGTCACACGCCCTATACCCCGACCTCGCACCTTGTTATTTTTATTTATTTCCGAAAATAAAAGAAAAACTTAGAGGAAAACGTTTTATAGACGCAGAGGAAGCAGTGGCTGCGTTTCAAAATGTCGTTGAAGTCGCCCCTAAGGACGAGTGAGCAAAGTACTTTTCTCAGTGGTTCCATCGGATGCAGCGATGTATTGATGTAAATGCCACTATTTTGAAAAGATATAATAAAACTAATAACTTGCTAGTTTGTTCAGGTTTTGATTTACTAAGAACTTTTAGTGTCACCCTCGTATGAAAATAAGAGCTGTGTTATTTAAAATTTGCAACTATTTTTACAAATGCTTACGGACTTGATTTTTAAAAACAAACTTGTTGGGAGCTTCCTTCATGTTATTTTAAAATTAATGTACCTACTTGTGCATACAATATTTTCCCATTAATAGAAAATATCCAATTAACCGAATAATATAACGATATGCCGTTATTAGCGCGTTTTCGCTATTGGTACTGTGCATGTTGACGGTACGGGCTCGATGAGCCGCCATTCCTAATCCCATTCTTTATCCGTTCGGATTATAAATTTCTATCCTTCTAGGGATAAAAGAAGTTCTACCTCCTAGAAAGTTTATAAATGTATATATAGTTATAATATAAACTTAATACATGGCATGCCAATGTATCAAGTTTAATCGATGAGTAAACTGAATTAGTAAAATAAAAAACAATTACATGACACAATTTTATTTAATCTAACACAATATTTATCATGAACATCGAAGAACAAAATCTCAACACACTTTCAACCAAACTTAAGCGTCAATTATATTCTACAACATGACAATTTTTCCATGTATATAATTAGTTAAACAGTTAACAGCTAAACCTAAAACATGTATCGTTGCAATAATTAGCTCAATCAATAATTCTTGTATTCAACTACCTACGCTTTACTTAGTATTTTGACACTTGTATCGTAATTCTATGTGTTGTATAAGTTTGTGCAGACAAGAGCGTCGCCAGTCGATGGGCCAGGAGAGGGAGGGGGGGGAGTAATTTCATGTATAGAGCATGGGAAAGTGTAGGTACAAGAACACATGAAGCTTTACACTTCTATTGCGAGTCTTACCTCTGCGGCGATTGTAATAAGAACGGTTCACATTTCGATGTGTAAAGCTCTGGTTTCGGGTTGCATTGTATTTGACTAAAATTTTTGAGTCTAGAGGGGGGGGGGGCTCAGCACGCAGCTGCCCCTCCCTGCTCCTTGGCGACACCCTTGACGTGACTCTTGGCCAGTGATGTCTGCGTAAGTACATTCATAGCACTATTTCGTCTGGGACGTATAAGTGAAATGTTAGAAAGATCTTATGACTTCCGATAGATGTCAGTTTCATCATGAGACTCATCAACAGGGCGCAGCGTTAAAGGTATCTGTTAGTGCGAGCACCAATCCGCCTGATGGGCGATCCCAGAAACAGTCAGCTTGGCGTTAATGGCAAATCATTTCTACAACGGGGGAGACTTTCTAGTAGTGGTAAGGTCTACTACTAGAAGGCCTCCCCCGTTGTATTTATTAAGTTACCCGGTTTGATTGATACTGGAGTCAACTGGAGGGACGATGGGTGATTACGATGGTATCTAATCATATGTTGCTAAATGATCTATGTCACTACCCTAAAGCACTATAATTTATAAACATCTGAAAACATTTATTAAACTTGTGGTTTACAGCTATTACTACTGTACGTGCTCGTATGTGTATACAGTCCCATCAATTTAATGTTCCGTTGAAAAACTGTATAGTAAAAGTGTTTAACATACAATAATTATCTACACATGGATTTTTATTACGATACAAGTGTTTGCAAGACTGTAGCACAAAAAACTATGTGTCTGATAAATCAACAGTGTTTAAATTTTTATTTCCGGCTACTTCATGTTACAAACACCTACTTAGTGGCGTACCTTTGGAAAATGGGGTCTATGGGGATCAAAATTGTGTTTCTTCGTGATATAATTTATGTATTTCACACTGCGACATCGGTTCCAAAATTAAAGAAAGTTGTTATAAGAATATTTTTTTTTCTTTTGAATAATTTTTAGTTTCATAATTCGTTAAATTTGTGTAACCCCTTGATTGACGCAGAGAATTACCCCATGTGCACCCTAGGTTTGCCACATATAATAATTTTATGAAGTTAGTTTAGAATACATTAATATTTCTAAAAACTAATTTTAAAATGTTACTTAAAACAAACAAAACTTTATATTGTTAAAATAATTCATGTAATATATGCTGCTCATATATTACACCTATATACTTTTAATAGTATTAGCAACACCCGTATTTATCACAAACTAACAGGAAGTACATACTAAATATCTGTTTGTATACCTACCTACATAAAACACAAATAAACAAAAAGCATTATCACTGACACTTTATTTATTTCATATGCTATTTGGGTATAACATTATTAAATATATGGTAGGTATAACATTATACACTATAGTAAAAAAAAAGCAGAGGCATCCATAAGGACTGCGGACAGAAGTGAAAACTCAATGATATATTATACGTATACATGTACAGAGGCCGGTATACTACGCATCGCGTAGCGACGTCTCGTAGTCACGTAACGACGCGTAGACAAAGACATGCTCGTGACGCGAACCTATAAGATTTTCCCCTGACATAATATTGTACATCTGAGAATGAGAGCTGTACACACAAATGCTTCCATTATACTAACATGTCGGTAATCGTAGATTACTGTTTTAATAATAATGTTAAAAAAATTGTTATTAATACCAAGTACTTTAATTCTATAATAAATATTGTAGGTAAAATATTTGAGGGAAAGCATTTAAAACTGCAGTAACAATTTTGGTATAAATATTAAAAACATCTCACTTGGGAATTAAAGGTTTTGCACCCTTGGACCTATTAAAATATAGTAATAATTGTTGGTTCCAAATTTCGTAAGTCATTTTACAATTTCTTAACTATTAAAATATTAAATATGTAAGCAAAATGATTACGTAAGGCAGAAAATAGTGCGCTTGAACATTTGATACAGATTGCATAATACAGTGCATAGCCAATATAAATAAGTTAATGTATATATAAATATATATATCGCCTTACGTAATCACTTTTACCTAATTTACAGATAACTATAAAATTTCTACTTATACATAATAAAATTCTACTTATACGTCCTGTATTTTATATCATAATATTTAATGTCACGTAAAAAGGTTCCCAACCTTTTCTGGACCACCGCCCCTTTAGCAGAAAATATCCAATGGGAATCTTGGGGGCAAGATAATATAAGTTATTTTTTTTTAAATATTCAAATATTGTTACATATTATCTGTAACTAATTCATATTTTTATTTATTTATTAAAAATAAAATTTATAAAGTAGAAAGACGACAACCAAATCTAATCTTAACTAAAGCAAATTGGAATACGTACTAATAAAACTTAAAGGTATTAATTTGGTAACAATGTTAGATAAAATATTTATTTGAAGTATTTTTAAACTATATTCTATAAAATAATATGCATATTTCAACAAATAGTAACATATTTTTACAATGTTTGGTGCTAATAGGGTAACCCACGGCCACCCCTCTTGACTGCCTACCTGCTACCCCCTGGAAGTCTAGCGCCTACTGGGAGACGGTACCGTCTTCGTTGAAAATCGATGGTCTACATATTTTGTAGGTGTACGTTATTTTCGAATTATTTTAAGCTGTGCTGTATTTCTTTATAACTATGACATCGTTTAACACTTTTTTTTACTAAAGATAGAAATAGCTATACTAATACCAATATCTATTGTAAAGAAATATAATATATATAACATTTCGATATCAAAACAAGCAATCAAATCATAATATGTAGTAATATAATTTACATTGCTGTAAATATTCTTGTGCATTTTTAAAGTAAAAGTTTGCTTATAAAATCGAACTAAAAAACTAAAAAGATATAAATAAGATTAAAGATCAAATAAACGAAGTAATACAAAATACATGTTGATATATTAATTAATTTCAATAGCCATGTACCTAGTCTAACTACGCTAACACTTATGATATTTTCTTTCTTACAAGCGATGTGACTTAGTATGTTTTAGCAGATAATAATCACTTTTAATATTACAATATTATATTAATAATTATAATTAAAACTTCAAGGGGACGGTTTAAACGTGTGAAATCAAAGACGTTGAATTCAAAAACGAATACATAATATGTTATATAGACATAGCAGGGATAAAAAAATAAATTTGCATTGAAAAATACTCTGAGTGCATACTTTAATATTTTATTATTTACGGGTATATAGTAAAGTACATTTAGTAGCTATCTATATTTTTTGCAATTTCTTTTGTGTAAAAGTAAACTTTTAATAAAAAGTGAAAAGCGGCTTCAAACATTTTTAGTGCTGAGACATAGATAGTGTTGTAGCCACTGAATAAATAATAGTATTACGGCGTAGCGAAGAAATTAAAGCTCAGACTTCTGTAGCTATTACTCGGAAATTACTATATTCGTTATAGTTTTTGTAGTCAGTTTTTACTTTTTTTGTTAAAAGTTTCGATTTTTTACCCCTTTTCAATGGTCTAAACATTATCACAAGTTCAAGGTTACAACAAGAAAGCCGTCTAAATTGTCTAAATTTCCACCCTTAGTGATGGGGTTTTCTTTATCAAATGATATGGGATCACCCCTGAAGCATGACCTATTTAATAAAAAGATGATCATTTAAATCGGTCCCGCCGTTTCCGAGAAATCGGTAAAAATCGATAAAAACATACGCCTTGAGTAACTAACTATTTTTATTAAGCTTTTCTTTTTATCATAGTTATGAAAGAATCATAAATATATATTATACTGAAATAATTCTTAATCATACGGGATGGAATAATTTTCCTTCTCTAATTTTATTCCCTATAAAATAAAAAAATGGGTAAAATAGTTAATAAAATAACATTACTTTTAGCTAGAGTACGCAACGGTCATGACAGAGGAATAGGAATGAACTGAAAATTTTAATTTTTAAAGTTTAGCGATGCTAGTAAATACTATAATGATTTACTATTATAAACATAGTGTACGAAATCTTCATAAGGTTAAATTCTAATCCCTACTACGTACAAAATTTCCATCAATTTTACTTATTTTTTTTTTTATTTATATTTCTATTTTTTTAACAATAATTTAGAAAACTAAAGAGTTAAGTAATGGGATACGCAATTTTAATATATGTCGCAGCCAAGTAGCTTAATTAGTTTTCAGTTAACAGCCTAATTTAACAGCCTAGCCTTTTTATTAAGCGGCGCCGTTCAAATAGAGGCCTGAATTATATTCAGCTAATACATCCAATGCAACGCCTATCTTGCAATATCAGCGACAGTAGGTTAAGGTGCTGTGGTGTCCCTTGGGTCACCCTAAAGTCGCGTATATTGTTTAATAGTGCAAAATTAGGTACAAACCAGCGACATTCCATGGCATGGATAGTTTATTAATTTCATTCAACGAGACGGTTGCTAGTCTGTGCCTAATCAATCAGGTCGCTAGTTGAACGGTGTTGTTTAGTAAAAAGAAGACTTGGCTATTAACTGAAAGGCTAAGTAAGGCAGTTGGCTGCGACACATTATACATAAATAATGCTAGGTGAAAATGTTCTATCGTATGTATATGATACTATGTATTTGTATAGGTACTTTCTATCATCTACTAAGTGCAATTTTTTGTTTGATAAAATTTTAACATAATTTTTTTCAGAAATTTTCGTAAATCTATAGACCTTAGAGTTCATTTCTACACTTTAAGTGTGAATCTTTATCCATCTCGTATCAGTTGCGATGTCTTATCTTGGTATTTCACACGTCTATTTGTTATTATATTAAAAGTCTTATGTAATTAAATGAAAGACAAATACAGTTGCAATGAAGGTACATTGCAACTGTATTGTCTAAACTCGTAATTTATGACAATATTATCAGTCAACTGACATTTTGCCGTGCAAATGAATGAATGTTTATTCTGTTGTAGATATATTTCTAACTTTATAGTAAAAAGATAAATTATTATTATATTTCCGATGGTATAAAATCATGGATGTGATGAATTAAACGTGTGTAAAAGTTTTAGTTTTTTTTTCTAAGTTACATAGACACTGTTTAGCAAACAAAATCGTAGGTAAATTAATTTGATAACCCTACCTTTGTGTATAATATAGTGCCAAATGTTATTCCGCAACATTACATATTGTTACACTGTATGTACTATTAGTCTTTACTTTCTATTAGTAGTGTTATTTAAACCTTAGCGGACCTTGAATTTGAGTATATATATACTTATATTAAAATGATATGTACCTATGTATTTTACATATATATTTATAAATTTAAGAAATATAAAAATATAAATTTAATGATAAATCAAATTTGGAAGAGAACTCACTTGGCATTTTTATAGGCCGTATATGTATAATTAATATTCTTTGCATACGAGGTAAATACAATACTTTTGATTTAATGTGATAAAAGATTTAAGTAATTTAAAAACTGAATGTAATTTTTATTACTTAAATAAGCATGTAAGTGCTTAATATAATATCTATAAATATAAAACAAATTAAAACTGTTTAAACAGATTATACTAGACTAACAAAATATAAAAAAATAAGTTTATTACAGCAATTGTTATAAAGCAACGTAAACGTAAACGAAACTCGAGAAGTTTCTATGACAAATAAATCCAATTATACCGCCTTCCGGAGCTTTGAAGCTAAAAATTGACTTATCTTATACACCTTGCTTGAGTTATATTTATTTATCTATTCACGGGAACAGCTGTTTTACTAAAAGCAAGGGTCGATCGCGTGACATTAATCGGCGACTGTCTTCCTGAACATAGTCTTCTGGGGCCACACCAGCGCAAGGCAACAATTTCAAAGGCCGTGTTGCAGACGACGCTCCGCAATTACGGCAATGAGGGCGCCGTACATCCAGTGGCCTTTGCCACCACCACACACCTTCTTTGGACTCATCGTAAATATTTTGGAATCTGTAACTATCGTAGGTGTCTCTCGACCATGTTGATGATTCACTATCGCAAGGCGTTACGGGGGCACTTCGATTAGGCTTTGGTTCATTACTAGAGCTGAACTGTTCTGAGAGTGATCCACGTCTCTGGAATTATTAAAGAGTACGATTGGAGTTAACAGAGAAAATTTTCCTATAAAATTCTACTGATTTAAAATCAGGTTTATAAATGTTTAAAATGGAAAAAAAAATAGAAACAATCGTTTTCAAAAAATTAAGTAGGATGCTTTTATGATTTAGATTTTAGAAGACTTCTATTATTTATGGTTTTGTTTATATTTATAACTACCTTTGTAACTTTAAAGTTCGGTATCTTAAAGCGTCACACTTCTTGCAGAAACTTGATCGGGCAGACGCCTTGTCTGTTGTCTCCGGATCTAATCATCACCATTCCATCGATTTCATCACCGACCTGAATTACAATTTGATCGCGCAGTAACATTAGGCCATTGTCACCATCGGATACCTGAAATTTATTTATTTAATATATTAAAAGCCCGTTGACTACAAGATAAAAACGTTATTTAATACATAAAATATTTAATACTCGCTTTCACAGACTACCAATTTAAAACAGCAGCTTAATGCTGCTTTGTTTCATATGGTGAGTGTAAAGAACCGGAGATCCTTTACATTGGAAAAGGAAATTCTTTAGTCCTCTGGAATAACAACGCATCTACATCTTAATTCTTAATCGAGAATATATATTAGATGTCTATGTGTCACAGTATCCAATTATCACCAGATGGACGGTAAGCTCGTTTGTCACTCTTATTCTATAAAAAAAATAAAATGCCGCGTCGTTAGTGGACAGTATGGGAAATGGAAAAATAAATTTATACGCCAGACGTGAATACACAAACTGGTGCAGCATCAGGGAGTAGGGTGCAGGTGGGAGACGTCTAATACTTGGATCGCCAATCCGCTCGCCAAGCGTGTCGAATATGGCAAATCCTTTTATAAAAACTTTAACGGTCATGCGTAACGTCCATGTAGTAATTCAAAGTAACTGTAACGTAGTAATTCAAAGTACAATTTTAAATCCCACTATGAAAATCATTTATTACACTCACAAAATGCTCAGCTTTGAGCCTACAGCAGATGTTTCTTCCAGCATCGTTGAGCATTATATGTTTGTTTTTAGTGTGTCTCACAAAGCTTATCGTTACGTTTATTTTTATATTTTACGGCAGAATCATCAGCGCTGTAGGTTTACCCTACAGCATTACGCTGAGTCATAACCTTTTCACTGGCACAATACACACCCCATTTCTTGTAATTTTAATCTACCATACTTTTAACTGTTTATTTTTTATTTTTGTGATGTGTACAGTTCGAGTGAATAAATGTCTTTCTTTCTTTCTTATTTTACCTATGTCGGTAATTGTTGCGACTATTACGATCGAAGTTGTTGACGAATAAATTTACGTAAGCCAAGTTGTCCGACTAGGTAAATAAAACTTCGACTGAGAAATCAAAAGCGTTCGGGAAATTACTTCACATGTTTTCGTTACGAATTCCTTAAAGTTTTAAAACAATACTATTTAACCAGTGTGTGTTGTCAGCATGTGGATCTAAGACGGCCGTATGAGGAAGCTTAAGTTCGCTCAGCAAGTTATGGAGAGGTCATGTTCAGAGTTTGTCTGCGTAGTAAAATTCGTAATGTGGATATCCGCAAAAAGACCCAAACAAGTGACATAACCAAGGATCGGCCTGTATGTCTTGTAAGAGGTAACGAAGCGAAACCGAAATAGAAGATGGACAGCAATCAGCCAGCGTCTGCCAAGCGTGCAACTATGCTAAATATCTCCGATTATAAAATAAATGTCCCCTATGAGGCAATCTGTGTTTAGCAGTGTACTTTGATAGGCTTTTATGAATGAATTAATTAATAAGAACTGGGGATTCATTATAAATTTATATTATTCATAATTAATATACTCTTGACGATTGCGTAGGCAAGTGGCAAGAGCGCCTGCCAACGATATCTATACCACGGGTTTTAATAGAATAAGAATGACAAACGAGCACACAGTTCACCTCATGGTAAATGTTTGCTGTGACCCATAGACATCTACATCTATCCTCGCTTGTGAATTAAAATGCAGATACGTTATCAGCCGTGAGGACTAAGATGGAATGCCTTGTTTCCAGTAAAAACGGTTTTTTGGTTCTCTACACGAAAACAGCAGCGTAGAGCTATACGAAACACAGCAGCGTTGAGCTGCTATTTTACGGTGGTATTCTGTTAGAGGGTGGTCCTTTCGCGGTCTAGTCGACCCATACGTGCGACAACTATACAAGTAATATAGGTGCTGCATGGCTCTACCACTAAATAAATCATACTGGGATTCTGAAAGGGTCTTGTGTTTGATATCCAACCGGGGCTAACATTTATATAAAACCTCAGGTAGCTGTTTAATTAATTGTTAACTTAGTATCTCTGACATTATATTTATGTGACTTCCGTTCTTATCTTATAAGCAATCATATCGGGTACATGTTAGGCACGAGTTTTGGCGTTTACTTGAGTCACTATAATATCTCCTGCGCAGTTGATTTTAGATGGTGGAAACCGGCATGGGGAATTTCGTCATATTTCTACTCGAATATGATAAGTTTAAGCTTGGAAAAATCTTCAGCAGCGCCAAAAGAAACGTAAATAGTCAGTTGTATATCAGACTGTACATCAGCTAAAAAATTTAGAAGTTACTGAAGAATAAACTCAGCCCTGCCTTTTGAGTGCGGGTCGGCGCCCATTATACGCCTTCGAAACATTTTTTGTTTCTCATTTATGTCCCTATTACGAAGTTTTTTTGTTTTTTCATTACATAGAGAGTGCTCACTTTGAAATATATATCAGATAATTATTATTATTTATTAATATACATACGAATGAGTATAGCTTACTTGGAGGTTATGAGTGACTTGCAGTGGTCTCTCTCCAGCTTGCAGTTTAGTGCAGTATTTAGAAGGGAAATACCCGATCTTGCCTAAGCACTTCCCTTTCCACCAATCAGGGTCAGATGTATCAATGACTGTAACCTTATAACCAGCTTTCAAATCCAACTCATCAGCGTGACGGGATTTGAAGTTATAAAGTATCACATACAGATTAGTGGGCAAAAGCCTCTGATATTTCTGTAAATAAAATAAAATATATTTTATTGATGTGAACTAATCTACTTTAAAAATAATTGTCAAACAAATTTGTGTGTGTGTAAGAATAGCCACTACCCCATATTTTTAAATTCTTTTTATTTAAAAAATTACTAGTAATGCTATTAAATATTACTACTATTCCCTTTAATCACTTCTGGTAAGCTAAAAATGCTTGTGTTAGAAGTGGTTCACGACAGTAGTTGAATGGCGGATTCGAACCCACGACCTTTCGAGTTCGCGGTCCGCGCCCTGCCATTAGGCTACTAACGTTTCAAATTCAAATATTGTCGCGTGTGTGTCGTAAGAGGCGACATAGGGAAATGGAACAGGAATTAGGTAGCAGCACATTTCTGATAGCAACTGAAAATATTTATCAACTAAAGCGAGACCACCACGGCAGATATCACTCCTACGGGGCAATATATGAGAGAGGCCTTTGTTCAGCAGTGGACTTTTCATAGACTGTAATGATAATGATGGACTACATAATATATTGAGAACGAAATTGGTCGGGGTAAATTGACGTTAAATACAAAGTGAAGAAAAAGAGTTACATCACAAAAATTAAGGTAAAAGATAAACATTACAGATACAGGTTGGTAAGAATAACATTAGGACTGTAATCAATTCTGCACAGATGATGATTTTAGTTGCATAATGTGGGTTGCATATGATTTGTTCCAGCGAATGACCAAAATGTTCTTCTTTACTAACCATGCTTTCACACATTTACACATTTTCTGTAGTACCTATTAAGCAGTCGTCATTGGCAGCTGGGTGCACTCTGATGTGTTCAGGGGTTAGTGCAACTTGGCGTTCTGGTCCAATTTTTTAAATGTATTTTAGAGTCTTTTGATATTTACGATTTAATTATATTCATAAGTTGATCATTAAGACTCAGTTGAAAAATTCAAAGCGTGCGGTCCACGGTGATAGTTGGTTTGGTCTGATGGTTTGGTTGATCATATTAAACAAAAGCGATCAATCTTTATACATTCACAATATGATTGGATTTCAAATACAGAGTCGGATTTTACTAACCTTACCTACCAAATTAAAATCTCGGACATATTCCATTTAATATATTTGTACCTGGACGGCCGAGCTTTGGCAAGATAAACTTGATATATTTTTTTCTTTTTTTTATGTGTGTTACCTCATAAATTTTTACTGGGTGAACCGATTTCGATGATTCTTTTTTATATGAAAGCTGATACTTCTCGTATGTTCCATATGAATTTGATCAAGGTCAGACCAATAGTTTTTGAGTTATTCTTAATAACTTATATTGAAGTCGGCTGTACAAAATTTTGAATTTTAAATTATGTAAATACAAAATTTCATTCAAATGGCAAAGAACTGTCACTGGCAGAGAATGCCGATATGCATTAAGTTCGTCCATTGTAACCTTAGTTGTAAGGTGTAACAATAAAGAATAAGTAAATAAATAAATACAAATATTACTCACTTATACTATAGGATAATTTTAAAAACTGTTGGGAGATATTTCTGAAATTAGGTTACATACGCTCGGTTGTTTGACTGGTGAAGGGCATGGACTGGCGCTGTTCGATGAGAGGCTTTTATCTGGCTCATCAGGCAGTTCTACACTGCTCATGCGGCCTACTCGTGCACTTAATAACCTCCTGCTATGGACTGGAGACGATGGAGCTGTACAGAATATATAATGCAAAGTTATTACTAGTTTTAGTTTTATACTAGTATTAAGCATGTTTTTTTTATAAAAATTATTAATAACTTTAAATATAAAAACTATTATGTAACATTTCAGAAAATTTTTAGACCAATTAATTCACGCGCCTATTTTTTTAAAGTTAAGAAATAGAAATCCGTACATTACGTAATTACGTACATAAGTATTTTATTTTAGTTTCTTTTTAATAAACAAGTTTTTTGTATTTTCAAAAATCGGACCCTATTTTCTAATAATGATTCGGTTTGCAATTATACAAATAACCAGCAATATTGCCAGATGATTTTCCTAATTTCAAGACATTTATTGTATTTACAGTTTACATTTTCAGGCTTGAGCGTTTGCTATAATCGATACAGTTGGTTCTTGATTAATTAATTAGACTAATCTGATCTGAGAGCATAGATGTCCTCAGTGTTTAATAAATATATGTTTGAGAGACACTATACTTTTATTTATTTATTTTTTTATTTATTTATTTATTTATTTTGCATAATGTGTGTGTTTTACAGTTGTTATAGAAAATATAGTACAACACATTAACCATTTCTGGTGTACAAAATTATTGAATTTTATAAACATTAAGTATGAAATTACGAATTAAAATTAAAAAAAATACGTACATTGCATAATAAATAGCAAAAACAAAAAAATTAATGTGAACTAATTAAAAAAAAAAAAAAACATTTACTACTATTTGCATTATCATATCATTAATATTTATAATTTCATGTCACATTATAATATGTAATTACCAAAATATTATTATTAAAAAAAATAAAGATAATTATTGTTTTTCCAACAACTCGCTAACCGAATAAAAAGATTTATTAACTAGCCACTTTTTCAACTCGTTCCCGAAACGCTTCCTTGGTAGTAATTTTATATTATTGGGTATTGCGTTAAACACTTTTATGCACATTGCATAGCAATTTCTATGATAATTTACTGTTTTTGGTATTTTATCAATGACTAATTTATCTGGATTCCTTAAGGGTTTGGACTTGATAATATCTCCAGCAGTTGTAAACAGCTCAGAATTATTTTTCACAAATTTTGCTGTTTCAAGGATGTATATGCAAGGAAGTGTTAACACTTTTAAATTTATAAATATTGGTTTGCACGATTCATGTGGGGCCATATTATATATTGCACGTAGACATTTTTTTTGCGCAATGAAAACTTTATTGATGTCTACAGAATTTCCCCATATTATTATACCGTAGCTAAGTATACAATAAACGTATCCGTAATACGCCATAAGAGCTGTTGATTGCGATGCCGTCTTTGTAAGGTTCCGTAATATGTAAACAAAGCGGTTAAGTTTATTACATATTTTTTCTATGTGGGTTTTCCAGTTACAAAATGTATCCATATGTATACCGAGAAAGCAAATTTCTTCTACTTGTTTTATTTGTTCGCCATTGTATACAATATTTAGCTTTGTTTCATTATTTTTTTTATTAATAAATTGTATTAACTTGGTTTTGCTTATATTTATATGTAAATTATTATATTCTAACCATTCAATTATAAATTTCAAAGAAATATTAATGTCATTTACAAATTTACCAATGTCTGATTTTTTGTTACATGTCATTAGCATAGCAATATCGTCTGCAAATAAAGTCAATAAATTATTCGTTACATAAGAGATATCATTAATATAAAATAAAAACAAAAGTGGACCAAGTACACTGCCCTGTGGCACGCCATAGCCATTAATTAGGTACGGTGATTTATAATGCTCAAGTTCTTTATAATAACTTAACCTTGAAATTTCAACACTTTGTTTTCGATCTTTAAGATATGATTCTATCCAATTTAATGCCGGTCCGCGAATGCCTAAGTTGTCGAGTTTGTTTAGTAGAAGTTTGTGTGAAACGAAATCAAAGGCTTTACTCATATCTATGAATATTACAGAAGTGTGGTTTTTGTCATCTAAATTATTAACAACATTTTTTACAAGATGAAAACATGCATGGGTAGTTGATTTATTTCTTTGGAACCCAAATTGTTCATTTATTATTATATTAAATTTTGAGGTGAATTCTATTATACGCCTATACATTGCTTTTTCAAATATTTTGGAAAAAATAGGCACTAAAGTTATGGGGCGATAATTACACATATGACGTTTATCATCTTTTTTATGGAGCGGTTTTATTATAGATTTCTTTAAACTCTCTGGAAATTTGCCATTAGTAAAAGAAAGATTAATGAGGTAGGTTAAAATGTGTACTAATTCTTTACTGCAACATTTTATTATTTTCGTGGAAACTGAATCATATCCCACTGCGTTTGTGTCATTCAATGACCTTATTATATTCATCACATCGGCATAACCATATGGCTTCAAAAAAATACTGCTAGATATAGTAGTTTTATTTGTGTTAATATATTTATTAGTGGGAGATCTATTAGTAAGACTAATGAAATATTCATTAAATGACTCGGCGATTTTAGTAGGATCTGTAATTAATTTATTGTCAACCTCTATTCCATTTATAAATAAGTCTTTATTACTTTTATAAGATCCCTGTTTAACGACTTTCCAAGCAGCTTTACACTTATTTTTTGAATTTTTCACAAACTTATAGTTATTAATTTTTTCAGACAGGCGAAAACATTTTTTAAGGAGTTTTGTGTATTTTATGTATTTAATTTTGTTTTCATTATTATTGTGTTTGTAATATTGTAATTGTAGTTTTCTTTTCGTTTTACAACTAATCTTTAAGCCTTTAGTCAACCAACTAGGTTTAGATGGTTTGTTCAGAATTTTAATGCGCGTCTGAGGAAAGCACAATTCATACATTAGCAGGAATAGTTCATGAAAATTATCAAATGCAATATTTATGTCATTTTCACTATAAACATGTGACCAATTTATACTACACAAACATTCATTAAATTTTGTAATATTATCTTCACAGTAGTCCCTTCTGAAGATAAAGTAATGTTTCAAAGGGCTACAGATTTGTTGTTCTACAGGTACATGTAGCATTTGCGCTGTATTGTGGTCTGACAATGCTAATTCCAATAATTCGCCGTGAGCATTGTAGATGTTACTAATTATATGATCTATACATGCATTAAGTCTTGTGGGTTTGTCAATGTGAGTTATTAAGCTATAGTTCAATAAAATATCCAAAAAAATATTATTTGTGCTACTATGTTTGAGAGTATCGATATTAAGGTCTCCTGCTATAATTATTTTTTTTTTATTCTGTTCGGTTAAGTCATGCAAAAACGTGTTAAACCTATGTAAAAATAATTGAATGTTAGAGCTGGGTGTTCTATATAAACATATGACGACGATTTTGTGGTTTATTAGTTCAATCCCGCAACATTCAAAAGATTCGTCAGTAGCATATTTTTTAGGTATTTCTAGATTTTTATATTGCAAGTTCAGTCTTACTAATATACATACACCTCCTCTATTATGTTTCTTATGCCTGCAGTACATTGATGCTAAATTATAGTTATTAATACTTACGTTTGATTCACACCCCTTTGGAATGAAGGTTTCTGACAGACAAACTACGTCGGGGCGAATTCGGATAAGAGCTTCCTCGAGCAGTTTTTTCTTACTGTAAATGCTAGCTATATTTTGATGCATCAGTTTTAGTACATACTTACTAGTGTTGGGTACGAAAAAACGTGTGTGGCTTAGTTTTAGATTTAGGTGGTAGTACTGTAAAGTATGATGTTATTTTTTGCTGTTTTTTTGTTGGCGTTTTATGAATTATGTTTGGAATGGGTAAGAAGTAGGATGTAATTTTAGTCTGTGTTTTTTTTGGCGTATTACGACGTACGATTTTTTTTTGTATATATTTATAACGGCATACTTCCCTGCGTATATTTCCTCTTATTACTTTGGAACGTTGCATAAAACTTAGAAACTTTAAATTATAGTAATTTTGATTAATAATTAGATTAATTTTTTTACATAAATCATATCTTTTCAAAGTCTTAGTATATTCGATAAAGTGGCAATTTTGGTATTGATTACATGTTATTTTCAGTATATTATTGAGTTTCCATTCATTTAAGTACATATTTGTGCGAATCCCTAAAACTAATACAAGACACTCTTTATCTATTGTTTTTAGAAAGCTACTTAACTCTATCATTACTTTATAAGGGTTTTTATCATGTTCTCCAATACTTAAAACAATACAGTCCTTTGATGTGACATTAAATAATTGGCATGTTTTCAAGATTTCTTCAGTGTCTGCTTTTGGTTTGATAAATGACTCAAGCTGATAATGTTCGTAAGGTGTATTCATTCTTGATGTTCGTAACAAATTTGCCAATCCTATACATTGTTGTCCTCCAGTTATATATAATGTTTTTTTATGAAGTACGGATGATAATTTCGATGATGTTTTATAGTTTGGTTGTATTTGGGTGAATGTTTCATTGCTTTGTTGTATTTCGGGAGAACTGTTATTTCCGGAAATGTTGGTAAGTTGTTGATTCTGCATATTATTTTTGTTTTCTAAAGATGATTTTAGCCCGGTTTCAAACTCGCGCCCTTTATCGAATGTTGTGTTTGATGCACAAGCAATTGTTTGATTTATGTTATTTCTTGTAATATATCGTTTTTTTTTATTTGTTGACGGTACTGTTTTCTTTAAGTGCTGTACTGGACTTTTGCATATAGTTCTTAGTGTATTATTTTGGGTGCTTAACTTGTTTATTTCTTTTTTTAACTGAATATTTTCTATAATTACATTTTCTAACTCATTTTGTGTGCTGTGCAATTGTGAATTTAAATCGTTTATTTTCTGTTTTAATTCATCTATTAGAGTATCCTTATGTAAATGTGTAGACAGGTCAAAGCTTCTTTGTACCATTTCTGAATCCGCGGAACATGAAGATACGTTAAGTCCGTCGTTATCTAATGATTCACAAGATTTGGATTTAAATAATTTTTTAGGTCTTAAAGTAATGTTTTCATACTCCTCTTCCATCTTGTGTGGATACAGAACACTAATCTTATTCGTTATTAACAAATGTCTTGAAGCGAATTTGAGATTTATTGGTTATACTAAATTCGTCACATTAGTTCCTTTTGTTGGCAACTATGGATTGAGTATTGTACTCAAGCAAATAGGTTTATGATGCAACGCCCTCTCAAAGCTGGCGTTGTTTTCAGCTTACTGTCAGCCACTTTACACTCCTCAGCTGTGGACGAATTACACTAAAGAGGAATATCGCAGGCTGAAGGTGCAGTATAATGATTCGTTCCGCGTGTTGCTCCGTCAGCCACGATACTTTATAGAGAGATAATCAATTACGGCTAAAGTGAGAGACGCGTCTTACACTATCGGTTCAGTTTAAAAAAAATATGTGACTAATGGTAGGTTAAGACTACTGTAGCCCATGAACACCTGCAACCAAATTTAAATAAAAAATGCTTTGTCACCTCTGAGGACTAAGATGGAATGTCTTACAATCTGTAATTATACTGGAACCTTCTGGGACTTCAGACCGGAAAACATTGAGCTATATGTACTACGTACTAGAGAAGCCATTCTAAACAAAAAATATGCACTACTCTATGTCTTGGCTCATGCGCGGGAGATAGTAAAGTCGCGCATACGCAGTTACGCCACCACAGACTAACTAGTAACCACACTAAATGACACACTGTACGGATTGCAGTACAGTTCAGTTGAATATAGTGTATGTTCGGAATGCGCAATCTAGTACGTAGTACATATATATCGATGCCGGAAAACAGCAGTGCACGCACTGCTGATTGGCGGCAGAAGTAACTAAGAAAGTGGTACCGACTTAAACGTACTTCTAGGCAGAAAATAGTCCTACCGTCTAGTTTTATGACTTGGAATGTTCCAGATTTTTGTTCCCCAATAAACACCCAAATCATTGTCTTAATCACGAAGTGATAATTTTAGCTCCTCCGGAGGTTTTTGTTAAAAGATTTTATTAAGTATATCTCTCATTGAGTTTTAGCTGATTTCTGTTTATAATTAAGTCGTATTATTAATAATGTCCATACCTTTAACAAAATTTGCTTATACAACATACATACAAGTATATATCACTTATAAAGAACAGGCAACGTGCTCATAAAATTTAATTAATCCTTATCTTCTAATAACACCGCTAGCCAAACAATGTTTTATTAACATACTGATAACACTGTACATTTGTGTTGTGGCCGTCGAATATTATGTGTATAATGGAGTTACTGTGCAACTAAACAATTTGCCTCTCTAAACTTAACTTTTTAAAAGCTTTTCAACTTTCTAGTGATATTACATAGGTTGAGAGTAATACATTTTCTACAAACATCGTTTGGCACGAGTATTGTACAAATAAAACAAAATGAAACCTACATGATTGCGAATAGTTATAAATCGTGCGATTGTTTATTCTATTAGACCCGTGTCGGATATTAATTCCTCTGCTGTTATCTAAAAAGAAAAATGACAAAAAGAAAATAAATCACATGCGCAAAATAACACACGAGAAACAAAAAATGAAGTGTGATAAATAAATCATATCTTGTTTATTTGTGGAATACGTTAATATTGGTGGGTGCTTTAGAAATGTATGACATAAATCGGAGATACGGAAATCGTAAAACGATTCGCCTTATTATTACCTTTGAAGGACCTATAAAGCGCACCACGTGAGTTCACTAGACAGTTTATATGCTATACAGTATACACAGACAAGCTAAGCTGAAGGGTAATCATAGAGGTGAACATTGCTTGTGCCACAACATTGAATTTTCGACATTAATTTATAACTGAGTCCAAAAAACCTTTGAATGTTCAAAACTGACGACCGTTACCTTGTGATTTAATTTACACAAATTTATATGACATCAATTGTGATACATCTACAAGTATATATATACTGCCGGATCTGGACTGTGTCGAATAATTCTGTTTAATCGTGAATGTTATAAAAGTTTATTACGGGATATGTCAGAAAAATGTGGCTTTTGGTTGCCTATAGGCAACCTTTTATGCTACAGTTCAGATCTAAGTTTTACTAATCAATTGAATCCTGTCATCTCTTTCTAAACTTTCAAAATAAAATTATTATTATTATTACTAGATCCAAAACATCCAGACGATTGATTTAAGTTTTAATTAAATACTATACGAGTATTATGTTTAATGACACTATTATCATTTCTACGTGCTAGTCTTGTAGCACGAATGGGTCAGCTCGACCGGCGAAGGACCAGGCTCTACAGAACACCAGTGTGAAATAGAAACTTAATTCTGCTATGTTTTGCATAGTGAGTGGTAGTGGTACGGTAGACCCTTTTTACTGGAAAGAGGCATTCTTTTTTAGTCCTCAGGGGTGACAATGCATCTGCATTTTAGACGAGGATGGATGTAAGTGTCTATGGGAAACAGCATCCACTTAACATCAGGTGGTGACTTTTATTCCATCAATAGAAGGCGATGTTTGACTTGGAGGTATAAATGTTACTGGTAACAACGGAAGGAGTAGTAAACCTAAGTTTTCCTGCCTTTTTGGGTTAAGTCCGAATATAAAATATAATATAAAAATTACATATAAATTTCATTGTCTTGATCTATAGTCGCTCGCCTTTGACAAATTTATCACAAGTAATTGATATATTAATTATTATTCGGTTTTTACCTATTTGGAAAAGCCAATTGAATGATGATGTGATTGCCCTCGACAAATAGTGGAATTATTGTTTCTAATACGGCAATGTTTTTTTCCACATTTGTGTAAAATGATAAGGGAAAAACTATGCATGTAATATAATTATTTTATACCACATCTATTAAATACAAGTATCAAAATAGCATTAAATAGATGAAAGTGTTGCCAGGAAATAATAAATATTTTATATTTCTTATGTATTAAATTTTAGTTCGGTTACAGGGAGAATCAAGTAAGATGCAAAATATCTTGCACAAATGACACTGTTAAAGACTGCTCAGAAAGAGAACCTAAATGGCACATTTGTTGTTATATTATTAACAAAAGATCGACAGTAGCATTTTGATACGATAAAATGAAAGATGCTTACGTACTGCCCTATGCTTTAACTGTTTTTGAAACATAAGCTTGAAGACTTTAAATTTAAATGTCAGGTATATTTTAGAACACACTCTTTGTATCTATTTTAAATATTTATATGCTATTTTTAATAGCTATAGTGCAAACGCAGTTGAGCACAGGATTAAATTAGAATCGAAACAAACGTTCAAATACAATGAAGATAATTTAGTCATCAAGGTTTTTTGGACTCGCTGGTGAACGTTACTGATCGTACAGAGGACACGGCTGCCCTGCGCGGGCTGCTCCCTGGGCGGGCGGCGCCGCAGCTCACCGCACTCCGGCGAGTCCAGCGACAGGCTCTTCATTCTAAGGTTCAACTTTTGGCGTCTCGGCGAATGTGGCGCTACAACAGTCACGTTGCATGAGCATAGGATTTAACACTTACCAAAATCGTTCAACTGACCCTCAAAGAAAGTTTTATTGTTATGAATACTTTTTGACATATACTTTGTTATAATTTATAATTTAACATTTTGAAAGGAAGCAAGAATATGAATCTTATGATTGATATTGGAATTTATGACAAAATAAAATCGTATGTAAAACTTAAAAGTATTAGAGTTAGTCTAAAATGTAAGTAATAAATGTTATTTTGAACTGACAGCGCGAAGTTTAAACAAACAAACTGATCAAATATTATGAAAATTATTGCACAGTACGAGTATACCCAGATAACATTAGTTGTATAGAATATTACAAATATCACATCTAAATTATAATCATGTATAAGTATAGGTGTTGAAAAATCAATAGAAATATTCGTGCTATCATTTCAACTTGGATTAATAAAATTATTGAAGTACATATATAGTGTGCATAAGCGTAGCAAACCAAAATGCTCTAATAAAATACCAATAACGAGCAAAGAGAAATGCAAATGAATATGAATGTCGAAAGAGGTTCAAGAGTAAAAAGGTTCACAGACCTATTAAGTCTACTGACTCTACCAAACAGACAAATTTTATCAAACATCATACAACTGATTTAAAAAATATATCTTTATATTCAGCACATCACCAATAATGATATATGTGTACGGGGTTGTGCTGGAAAGTGGTATGAATGATGTATTTTGCAATGCTCAATAATACAAAAATAATTTCGATCGATATCAAAAATATTCTAAGAAGAGGTATTTAAGATTCCGGTTTTGGTACCAGGTAAGGGACTGGTGCGGTCTGCCTGCATCAACATTTGCGCACTCTTCGAATTCCTCATCGAACCTGCGTGGACAAAGTAAACAGGCACGAGTCGATCATTCTTTCACAAGTACTTTTATTTAAATCCTTTTTCTAGACGGCCTGTTATAAATGAAAACAAACAGTAGTAGAGTTAGTAAAAGAAGCGAAGATAAGTAAAATTAATTTTATAATCGAAACAATTATTACAAAAAATTTACCGATGTTGTGCTTTGTTGACGTTAATTGAGCAGCGTGGTAATTTCATGAGAATAGTTTGGGTGTCATAAGGGAATCGTGATTAGAAACGTGACAGTGAAAGTTAGAACGATGTGTTACAATACAAATAATCGCCAAAGACAAACTCATGCGACCGTCAGCACGCAGCACGCCCACCAAGCCATGCAACCACTTACATTCATCCAAACGCCTAGTAGGAAAAGGCGTATTAAATCAAAGATGCAATAGTGCAAACGGCGGGGATCCAAAGAAAGATCTGATTTGTTCTGATTTTTATTGTAACAGTAACAATATACATATCACAGAACGCGGGGCGTTTCGGGGTTATAAACATAGAGATAACTAAGAAGCTGCTGTCAATGTCAAATCTCCTTGCCACACTGAGTCAGTGCTCTTGTCATGGAAACGAAACTATGATTATATTTTCACTATCTTGGGATAGGTACTAAAATCATTTTTTCTTGCGAAAGCTGGCCGTTGGCTTGAGAATAGAAGGCGGCGGATCGCCGTTCTCTTTAACGAAACATAGGGGTTGTCCAAATGGTCGCGTAGTTGTTTCTTCCGATTCTGTAAAAATAATCCCGAAAAAGAAACTAAATAATAATATTAAACAAAATAATAATTACAAAATAACTTAATAATTATTTTTAAATTAAGAATATATATTAATTAATTAAAAATAATTAAAAACGTGTAATTAAAAACAAATATCAATATGTATAGGGATTAATTGTGCAAAATGTTTCGCCGCGACTATCAATGTCATGGAAAAGCCCATAGGCAGGACAGGGTCAAACATCTAGTGCGGTTGCCTAAATATCGAGCTTTATCTATATTCGCTCCTATAATCTAAACAAACATGTCTATCACAAAGAAGGAAACAAAAATAATAATAATACAGAACACACAACAGAAACGTGGCACTGGAACCGAGACAGACGGGACAAACAAAGCTCAATCGGCAGCTGTGAGACAAAGAGCGATGCGCTACGGCAGTCGTTGGCGCATACTTTCCGGCAGGGAAACTGATCGGTGCTGCGGCGAGCCGCGGCGCGACTTCGAGCCCCACATGGACAAACTCTTGACGCCGGCGAAGAGCCGCCGCCGCACGCCGCCGTCGGGCCGCATCGCCCCGCCTACCGACAAGCACCGCTCAGTACCGCTCCCCGCCCCGCCCTGCGCTCGCGACTAACGAAGTGCGTGCAAAATTCGACACTACTGAAAACGAGTGAAGTGAAAAGCTGCCGGTTTGTCGGCGGCCTACGGCGCGGTCTACGGCGCGGCCGAGCGAAGCGAGCGAGCCCGAGCGGCGCCGCACCTGAGGTGGAGGTGGCGGCCTGCGGCGCCACGGCCAGGCCGGCCGCGGGCCGCGCCGGCGAGCGCGCCGCGCCCGGCTCCTCCGGCGCCGACACGCGCACAACCGGGCCCCCGCCCCCGCGCGAATCCCCGCCGCCCGGCTTCGCTATTTCGCTGGCCCGCTTCAGAACTTGATAGGTCTGATCCACTTCCTCCTCTGAGCATCGAGCGAAATGTTAGTCAAACGAGCCGTCACGTCACCATGGTACCCGACGGGTGACCGCAAGTCTACGTGTCTCTAAGTTAGTGCGAAACGTTACTGAGTCTGTTTCCTGAATGATGTTAATTTACGGGAATGTTAGTTTTATGGATGCTGGACTTCTAAATGGTGCACGGGTATCACGCCTGGCTAATACTGTACCCTCGTTATAGTAGCTATCGAAATCGTCATCGAACTCGACCGATCCTTTGAAACTAATCTTGGTGAGTCTCTGTCCCGGCAGCCAGCCGTCCTCCACCCCTGAATAACGTGAAATTAACTTCTCACGTGGGGTAACCTTCAAGCGTGTGTCGCAAGTCGTGTGTTTTTCTAAGTGTTGTGAAAGCGTGGTGATTAACCAGTGTATTTGATTATCGTTCGAGAGGTGTGAATAAATGGTACGCTTATGTTGTAAAATAATTGAATACTTATTTATTTTAATGTCGTACTGAAATTTTGTTTTTTGTGAGCGATTTCACCTTTATAGCATATTCTCGTTATGTCAAAAAGTACGCGAAAATTTTATAACTATTATTATATTTAAGATTTCATTAGCGACTTAACCAGTACACAATTTATTATTTAATAAGACTAACGGGTCACGAATCCAATAATATTAAATAAATATATCTTTTCTGTGAACTAAAGTCGTTAGAAGCAAACTTTAACAACATCTGACAGTACGGTAGGCTGAAAGTTTTGGAAAAGTTATTATTGTACTTACATCCTAACACATAATAGATAATAATGATAAATAAATTTTATTAATAAACAGTTTATAAGAATAGACTACGAAAGTAGTAATTTCAGGTATTAATTTTAAATTTACGAAAGTTGTAAAAATTGCAATTATTGTACTAATGCAAATTATTATTTTTGCTTAGATATAATTAAATTTCATAAAATACAGAAACTCATCTTTTGATACAATTATTATATAATTATATTAATTATCCTGTGACCCTATTATTTCAGGATTCTTATAGTAGTCTATGTACGGTCTATAATATGAACACTTACTTTCTTCTTCGAAAGCGGTTTCTTGGACTCTGTGCGACTCAATTTCGGAGGTACTTTTCTGCCTGCGAAGGAGCTTTGACTTAGTCTGGCACTTGCCGGCTTGCGGCATGCAGTCTGTGTGCACGTTCATTTTGCAAATACGACAACGTAAACCTTGACGGGTGTGCCCTGAAACCAAAGCGGGAATAAGATAATGAATTGGAACTTTTGTTTTCAGAAATCAAAAGGAGGTGATGTGAGTTCGAGATGAATATAACCCAACTACATTGAGATGATTATTAGGATGTATCTAACACACATAATGTCACTATACAGTGTAATCAATCCGTTTTCACAATATTTTATCAAAATAAATCCAATGAGCCTAATTAGATTCTTACTATACACTCCTCCGACTCCATTATCTTTACATATAAATATTACGTGTCACATTGTTTGTCCGCGATGAACTCCCTAAACTACAGAACTGATTTCAATGAAATTTCGCACACTGTGTGCAGTTTGGTCCAACTTGAAAGATAGGATACTTTTTATCACGATAAGTGATACCTTCAATATTTTTTATTGCGAATTTAAGGAATTTTTATAGGATGGGGCGTCGGAAAGGGCAGAACAACGTCTGCCTGGCCTGCTAGTAATATATAGTATTTTCAATTTCAATATATTACTAATTTATGGTCGGCATAGATTACTCATTTTCATTCGTTACAGCCTATCAAAAGTTCAGAGCTGTATATTACCTCTCTAGGAATGCCTTTGCCACAGCTGTCACGCTTGGGTGATGGGTTGGCAACCGCCAACACAGTGAAAATTTTCTTATATTTATATGCAAAATGCTACAGGCCAATGCCACAATAAATAAATAAAAAAATTAAATTTTTTTTTCATTGCCATACAGTAAGTAGGTACTGTAATACATTTTGATAAATATAAATACGTTGTGTTATTTTTTTTTTACAATTTCCCCGTATATCTACGGAACTACGGAATTTGATTTGTATGTTAATTATTTTTTTTTGTACTTGACAGTCCTTTCAGAATAATTAGATTTTTTAACACTTACCAAACAAACACATTTTTTTAACAAAAAAAAAAACATTTTTTTCCATGACTGTGAACTAAAAAGCCCCTAATTTTAGCTTTTTCTAAATGCAATTTTGATTCTATTCTGATTTTCAGAAGACCTGATTATTGCATTTGCTTTGTTCTGAATAAGGGCTTTATTTTTATTAGTACCTTGTCATTGGCTATTCCTGCAGCACTTAATTAGCACTTAATTCCTTGCTATTAATATTTATCGTATACCTAATAACGTCATTGCGTTGCTAGCGATACGTTTTGCCAGCAACGTAAATTTCAACAGTTCGTTGCGGTAAAAATTTTAGAGCACCTAATTTTTGAACTTGGCACCTAATTAGCACCTAAAAAGCCGAAAATTTTGGTATTTTCTAAATGCAAATTCCTGACTTTGCGTTGCTGGCGAGACACAACTAAAATTTACTAAAACCATAATTACTACGATAAAATAGGAGCAGCAATCCGCGACGGTCAAGTTCCCGCCAAAACTCTTTTTTTTAAAATGTTATATAGAACCAGGCCTAATTATTTTTTGTATTCTAAATTTAAATACACTGCCGCTGGTGGATTGCCGCTTTTGTATTATCGTTTTAATAATGGTTTGAAGCGGATTTTGATATATAGAAGTGATGCGATTTTGTGTATTAAATAGTAGATATTTAACATAACTATTAGCGGAAATATTGTAAACTTGTAACAAGTGCTTGGATGGTGATATAAATCTTAAGACTTTTATCGGTTTAGGCGCCTTGAAATAGGTACTATCGTTATCAACTTTCCGCTAAGTCAAGAGCGAACTGTGAGAGAACTGATCTCGTTTCTGTACACGACTATTTAATTGCTGCGGAATACCGTGATGAGATATTGGAACCTAAAATCTGACCACCCGGTTGTTTATGCTTAGATATGCATGACAATGGCCACCCACGTATGCCACTAGTGGTAACTCAGTGGTGGCAACAACATATTGTGACGACCCAGGAACGGTTCACCCAATTCCTGACATTAAATGGTTATGAGTATTATAACTTAACGGCAAAATTTACTCAAATCTGGTGACAAAAAATGAACTTTTTATTCGTCTTCGTTGAACGTAAGACCTTACCCCACACAGGGAGATATTAACATCATTTTGAGTATGAATAATTGTAGCAGAACAGTTGCTCTGACAAACACTTGTTTCTATTTTTCTTCTCTAAATCCCGTTAAAGTTCACTGCCGGATCCACACAAATGACTCTAAAGTTATGTTGAAGTGACATTTTTTATAGAATGATAATGACATACAAACGCACAGCTGATGGTAAATGAGAGGTATGGTACATAGACATCTATGGGTATGTATCTTAGATTAAGAATCAAAATGCAGATGCGATGTCATCCCTGAGGACTAAGATGAATTGCCTTCCCAACAAACATTTTTGTCATATAATCAAACATTTATATGACCTTGGGTCTTATTAGAGTTATTTTACAGTATTTTTTTTTACTCTTCGTCATGTACTGGTGCATTGTGTGTCCGAATAGTCATATACTTTTTTGTCGTATAATAATGTCATATAGACGTTCTTTCGACAATTTTTTACAACCGTCATATAATAGCGTCGACGACGACGTCTATAAAACTTACTTATACAACTTTTCGTCGTCTAAACGTTTTCGCAGTATAAACGTGATAATACTGTCAATTTTGTCATATAATTACCTTTTAAATATCTGCTAAACTGATAGTAATTGTTTACACGTAGTATTTGTAACCATTATATATAAGTCGAATAAGTATAACGATTGCAACCTGTATACATCCTGAAGTATCACAAACATGATAATACGACCGTTATTTAATTAATACTCATATTAAAGGTTTATAATAGCCTTATATACAACTGCCATCATTTTAAAATCTAATTTATCATATTTATTTACTGTTCGGTACAACATGAATCTTAAAAAGTGGAAAAGTATTAAAAAGAAAAGTTAAAAATAACTATCATTCGCTTCAAGCGCGTACTTTAATACAAAGTAATAGAGCTCAAGCTGAGAGTGAGGAAAATGAGAAGGGTTCCGTATCACATTTAAATTCAAACTTAACCAATCAATTTAACCAAAATGCAGTACCTACTACCTACTATACCCTGCAGTTCATTTTCCGAATTTCAAGAGTCTTGTTCATTTTCCGAAGTTAAAGACAGTTATACATCGTCCGAAAATGAAGATAATGTTGATAAAGAAGACACTACAATCAAAAATGATAACTTCAGATACCATTATAAAAAGTGGGCTATTGATTTTAATATTCCACAAGTTGCATTAAAACAATTAAATGTAATTTTGAACAAAATAATGCCCTGTATAGTCCCTTTAGACCCAAGGATGCTTTTAAAAAGTAAAAAAGATGTACAAATAATTCTTATTGATGATGGTCATTATTAGCATAATGGTCTTATTGAATTTTTAAAGACGATTTTACAAAACCTATATGATAAACCGAAATACGTTTCGCTTGTTGTAAATATAGACGATCTACCATTGTTCAACAGTTCTAAGCATCAAGTGTGGCTTATATTATGTAACATCCACGAATCACCAAATTAGCCCTCTTTTGTTGTGAGTATTTATGAAGGTACGAGTAAACCATCAAATGTATCCGCATTTTTTATTCTTTAGTACGTAAATTAGAAGAACTAATGTCTAATAATTTGAAAATTGCATCGCGAGATGAGGTCCATACATTGATCGAAGTTAAATTCAGAGCCTTCATATGCGACTCGTCAGCGAGAGCCTTGGTTAATGGTGGTTTTCCTAGTCCCAATTGTGTAATTTAAAATTTTCTGTTAGGTAGTATTCTTATTAACTTTTTAAGTAATGTTTTATTCGTTATACTTATATATGTTAAATTACGTGGTAGAGCCATGCTGCAGCTATATTAGTAGTATAGTTGTAACACGAATGGGTCGGCTCGACCGGGGAAGGACCATACTGTCATAGAATACCAGCGTAAAATAGCAGCTTAATGCTGCTGTGTTTCGTATGGTGAATGTAGAGAACCGGAGACCCTTTTTACTGGAAAAGAGGCATTTCATCTTAGTCCTCACGGGTGACAACGCATCTGCATTTTGATTCGCAAACGAGGATAGATGTAGATGTTTATGGGCTACAGCAACCACTTACCATCAGTTGGACTGTGTGCTCGTTTGTCACCCTTATCCTATCAAAAAAAAATCGAATATTGTACCGGCTCAGATGGTTGAGTGGCAGCAAACGCTATTGCATAAAAACGATTCTGAGTTGGATAACCAACGAACGAACCAAAATAAGGAATATAGTGAAAGGTTTTCGTTTAGTAGTAGTAATTTAAATAAAAGTCAATTAATTATATTTTATATTTTACAGGAGTATGCAACTTTAATACTAAACATGGTTGCTAGAAATGTATATAATGTTCCACGTTTTTCCCATTGTGCTGGCACAGTTGTTAATAAAGATTTACCATTTTCTGTGGTCTCCACTATTTTAAAAGACATTTGTCTACAAAAAAAAAAAAACAATTTATTATAGACAACAAAAACTTCCCAAGTAACAATATGGTCTTAAATTATCTTATTAAAAATTAAACATTAGCACTTTAATAATTCTACCTATTATATTTTGTTGCTACTTGATAATTAGGGTATCTTAATATCTAATAGCCAAGCGCTCACTCGCTATTACCTACAACTCACTGACTAAGCGAAAATGCGTGATCGAGAAGCAAATCTATTAGAGGAGATATTCCTGCAATCGAAACATCGCAGCATCGGCCGGACTAAAGAGCGAGTGAGCGCGGCATATTGGCTCTGTGTTAGTACAGTGCGCCATCTAGTGACTCGGTACGACAGTTAAACTATTCGGATTCAATAGATGAATTACGCTACAAATTTTTAACAAGTTATAATTGTACATTTTCTAACAGAATAAATAAAAGTAATGAAAAATGCTAAACTTTGTTTTTATAGCTAATTGTGTGAGAGGCGAGAAAATAATTGCAACTGTAGAGATTTTTTTACTCTTGTAACAATAGTAGTAAAATATAATAAGTACTAGCTTTTTATC